GAGGAGGGAGCTGAACCCTCCTGACCAACGAGGTGCTCACCGGGCATCCCAAGCTGGAGAGGGGCGAGGGGCGTGCGCCCACTTCTAGGAGCAGACGTCTGCTTCCCCGCCGCAGCTCAGAGATGGGGTGAGTCCTGGGCATCTCTTGATTCTGGGCCACATTGCGCTGGGGCGTGAAGTGCCAGGGCAGGGTCTCAGCTACCCCACCCAGCACCCCAGAGCTGTGTTGACTCCCTGCTTCATGGGTTGCCACCAAGTGAGCATGGGGTGGGGGGCTCAGGAGGGCTGGAGGCTGGGAAGGGCATGGGGCATTGGGAAGGTTCATCATTCATTGCAGCCTGGCTGCCATGCCCATGGGACTGCCTTGTTAGCTGGATGGCCAGGTGTCCTCCTGGACCCGAGACCTGGTTCTGCCCTGAGACAGCCTGACCAAAACAGAAGTGTAAAACGGTGTGGAGTGCCAGGCCGGACTCCCTGGATGTTCTGATCCTGTCTGCTTTGAACACTGTAGGGCAGGAGCAGGAGATCTTGCAAAGGGAGGGGAGGGGAGGATGTGGATCGGAGGGGAGTCATGGCAGGGGAAGAAGGTGGGGGAGATGGAGAGGCAGCTCCCCAGAGTGAAGGGTAACTTGGAGAAGTTGGAGTGTGACACAGGCCTGGGAGGAGGTGTAGGACCGGGAGACAATCGCTCCGAGCCAAGAAGAGGTTTTACAGTTTTTAGAAGCCAAGAGAGGAGAAGGCGGCCAGCAGAGACCAGAACAGTAGGCACAGAGATGTGGGGTCAAGGGCCAGGCCACAGAGGGGGTGGGCTGTTAGGGGCCCATCGAGAAGGCTTTGCCTCTGCTTCCAAACACTTTTGCCCTTACCTGGTCCACGGTCATTTTGAGGTTGGCGCCGAGCCACCCTTCCCCACTCACCCCTACGTCTTCGCGCTGCTAGAGGCCAGTCCTCTGCCGCTTTCTCTCCTTTCTCGCTGTGTGATGGGTGCCTTTGGCATCACTCTGCCCGGGGTTTGAGTCCTCTGCCCTTTTCCAGCCATGGCCATGTCACCTTGTGTGCAGACGGACTTAATATAGCAGGGCCTTGGCCTCTCCATCAGTAAAAGTGAGAAAAGAATGCCTATCTGGGGAGTTGCCCTGAAAATTCCATCAGCTGACATCCATAGAATGCTTAGCTCAGGGCCAGGCACAGGGTCCGGTACTCAGTCAACGTGGCTATCCTTATAGTCTCGCCAGCTCTCACTCATCTGCCCCCCAGCCCTCCCCAGCCCTCCAAGCCCCTCAGTTGGACTCGAACCCGACCCCACAGCCCTTCCCAACAGCACCTGCTGCAACAGTGCACCCCCACAGTGTGAGTGGGCCAGGGGGTGGGGATGGGGAGGCTGGAGACTTTGGCGAAGCTGGGAGGGCCCACAGAGGAGAAGGCCATGAAGACTGGCACCTTCTATCTACAGTCTTGGCTGGAAGGCCAGGGAAACTTTGCCCTGGCCAAAGGGCCAAGGACACAATTTACACTTGGCCTGATCTTTGGAGAGAAGTGCCCGAGGATGCCTGGCTCCCAATTTCCAGGCTTTCCCAGTCTATTTCTCACTGTGAATAGGCGCTCACCACCTCCCCTCTCCCCACCATGGATAAATCAAGTCAAGATGAAAAGGGTAAAGGGGCACAAGGGCACGGAGGCAGGCTGGGGAAGAGTGTGGCTGCATAAGAAGGCAGAGGGACGGGAACTTGCCTGGGCATGTGTCATATTTCTCTTCAGGCAAGCAAGAGTTAATCCCCCTTTTATCACTTGAATCCTAAAATGAGGGCTGCAGAGGGCCATCATCAGTGAACTTAGAAGGCATCTAAAAGTATGCCCTGATATATGAATCTTCTCAACAACACCCTCAAGCCACGCTTGAATACCTTCCGGGATGGGGATCTCATTACCTCAGAGAAACTCAACCCTCAGCACAGCTCTGACTTCACATTGGATCAATATCTGTCTCTGCCCACCTGCCCTAATGTGCCGCCTTGGGGCAGAATGGGACAAGTCTAATCCCTGTCCCTGTGGCCACAGACCCAGCCACTGTTCTACCAGCCTGTCCCCTACTGGTAGAACAAACCGTCTTCATCTGCCCATTTGCCCACAAGAGGGGCTCTCAGTCTGTTGAGGCAAACGGTTCCCAGTCCCTGCGTCACCTGTTTACGGGGCAGTTGTCCCAGTTGAGAAGCAGAAGCAGCTGTGGCTGGGATCAAGGTGCCTTTGCCAGGGATCTAAGGGCAAGCCCCTCCCTCGGGCAGAATCCCCAGTAGCCAAGCTGAGCGCCCGTGCCCACTTGCCCCCTTCCCTGGCGCTTCCTGGGCTCTCAAGGTCATTATTGCCAGAGAAAAGGAAAAGCTATTTTATCAGTGTCTCTCGCTCTTCTAGCCAGAAGCCTCCTCAGCCCTGCAATGGAGGGGCTCCTGGGCTAGGCCAGTCTATCTTAGGATCAAACTTAGGTCAAGATGCCAGGACATAGTTCTCAGAAGTCTTCCCTCCCCCAGATCCCCTGGAGCTCTCATCCACTGGACGGGTGGAGCTTGTCCTGAAAGGTGGCTGGAGCCCTGGGCATCAGTATGGTAGTGGGTAGCCAGGAATGACTAGAACCTGGTGGGCTTCAGGGTGAGAGGTCGGGGGGGGGGGGCAATGCCACCAGGGCCATCTGAGAAGCGTCCCTGCAGCCCTGCCAACGTGGACCTTCTGAGCCCTCAAAATGCCAGGGAGGAGGGCCAGAGACCTAGCGGGGGCTCACGCTCCTACGCATCAAGCTGCTCAGCCCACAGCTCACTGGGCACTGCCCAGCCTCCTCGCACCTGGAGGTTTGTAGATACTAGCCCCACCCCTGCAAAATGAGAAGGAGACAAGCGGTCTAAGAGGGGCCCATATACAAACCAACATGAGGCAAGCCACAATATGGGGAGGTGGGAATGGGACTCAGAATTGGAGCTGGGAGACAGGCATCTTCTTGTCTGGTGATGGGCAACGGTTCAGCCTGGGGAAGGCCTTACCTAGGGAGGAGAGACTTGGTTTCCAGCGCAGGCTCTTCATGAGCCGACTGTGTGACTTTGGGAGAAACACTTCCGCTCTCCGAATCTCAGCTTTAGATACAGCCCTTGCGGAAGCACGGGGGCCTCTTCTAGCTGCCCCCAGGCCCAGCTGTGGAGGGGCGGGCAGGATCCTGGGCCGGTGTGTGCAGCTGTGCCCAGCTGTGCCCAGACTGGAGGCTGTGGGAAGAACCGCGACCTAGAGCCTGATAGGAGATCCTGTCTTGTCCTTGACTCATCATATGGCCATAAGCCAGTCACTTGCCTGCTGTGGTCCTCACCTTCCCCTTCAGGATACTCAGGAGGCTTGGCCAGAGGGTCCCCAAGACCCCTCCTGTCTCTGATGTTGTAAAGATTTCCCCTCCCATCCCACTCCTTTTGGCCTTCGGGACCTGTTCTAGGGACTCTGAAAGCACCCCCTCCCCGGCCCCATGGAGACTCCTCTTCCAGGCAGCAGGCATGGGCAGGCAGATGGGGTGCCTAAGCCCTGCAGGGGGCTCCAGCAGGAAGTGAAGGAGCAGTGGGAATTGAGAGGCTCTTGGGCAGACACCTCTATCTCAGTTGGGGGTACAGAAAGCTGGTGAGAAATTCTGAGCACCAGAATGGGAGCTAGCTCTTCCCCCACCAGGCACCTCATTCTGCGATCAGAACTACCCACCCCCCACACTGGCCCCAAGTAGGCTGAGCTAAAGAACATCAATTTAAGGGAGATGCCTCAGCCAAATCCAACTCTCCCAGAAGCCAGGCCCAGATCCAAAGTGTTCTGGGAGAAAAGCCCTAGAATGAGGAAGATGCTGGCCCCACCCCAGAAAGAACCAGCCAGAATCCCCAGTGCCTTCTGCTGCTCAGCCCACCTACCCTGCCTCAGTTTGCCTATTTGTTAAGTAGAGAAGCACCCTCTCTGACATCCCATCCTTGGAAGGACTCAGGGGCTCGGGAGGACAGACATCCTTTTAAACCAAGGCATCTTTAGTTCCGTTAAATCGCAGCCACCTCTGTTTAATGCGGCCCCTCCCTCTCGCTTCTCTCTCAGGTAGCAGCTCTCATCCCTGTGGGTGTCACAACTACCAATGTCAGGGTCCTCTGGGAATACTCTAAAATGCACCTGGCCACTAACCACTGGCAAAGGTCTCTGGGTCGCCAGGGAGTAGACGGAAATGACAGAGAAACCAGAAGAAAAGTAAGAACCAACCACTTCCACATTTCCTTGCCATTCAGAAAGTTGAAACTTTTCTTATCTTTCGAGTGTATGTGTGTGTGTGTGTGTATAGGCAAAAAATGCAGAGACTAAGAATAGGAAGCACGAGAGAAAAAGACCGGGTGTGTCGGAATAGTAGCGCCCCCCCCCCCCCCCGCCACGCCACCTGGGGGGCATCTTTGGTCCTGAGCGTAGGGGGATCCCGCAGCACGAAAACAGGATCCAGCAGTACTTAGATGGGACATGAACAACCTGACTCCTCCCCCCAGCCCCCCTCACCCGAGAAGGTGCATGAGAGCAGACCCTGAGCAGCTATTCCCCCCACCCCCTGAGTCCAGAGCAGGCATGGGAAGTGTCTACCTAGTGAGACACAGCTTAGAAACGGGGGCCAGGAAGGATGGCCCATCCGTCCATGGAAAAAATAGGCAACATCTGTGAACAGTGTCACAGTGCCCAAGTTTGTCGTCATCCCAGAAATGGGTGTTCAGCCACCCTGCTTTCAGGTGCTTCCGAGGTGGATGGAGTCCCCCAGGATTCTGAAAGAAGGCAAAGGGGGAAAGAGATGAGCCATTTGTCGACATGAGTAGAGCAGAAGGACCGTGTCCTTGCTGGGGACCCAGCAATGTCGCGGGAGTACCAGGAAAGGAGCAGCGGGGGTCCCTGTCAGCATCCTGGCAAAGCCTCCACTCACGCTGCTCTTCACCCCTGAAAAAAGCCACACTCGAGGGATGTTCAGGGGAGATGATCTGTTTATTGTAGCCGATAGATCCAAGCAATACAACAAACTGCAAAAGAAACGCAGTCTGCTCCAAAAGGCAGACACATCACAGAGGCTGGGTCACAGAGGACCACTGAAGGTTTTCTCCCCACCCCCCTCCAACCACCCTGTAACACAGAAAACCTAGAAAGTGCATAAGTAGCTGGGTTTTCTCCTCCAAGTGCACAAAAAGCAATAAGAACATTCCATAATTTGCCTTTGGTGAATCAACTCAAAACATTGAGAAATGATGGTTCCCCCCCCAACCCGGTATAACTTTTGGGGTGGATGTGGCGCGACGTTTTATATTTGTATATAGAATATATCTATACCTATATATAGACTATGTGCAAATGCATCAGCAAGCTTCGATAAAGGAAGACATCAGCAAGAGGCACAGGCTGTCTATCCTTAAGACAAGTTGCAAGGAAAATTTCTTGATTCATCACTCATTCTGACTGCACCACGCCATCCCTATGGCCCGGGACTGTCTTTTGGGACCTGGCCAGTATTTTCCATTGTCCATCTGTTTCACCTGACCTTGTAAATACTTACCAGCCCAACTTCCCCAAGGGGACTTCTGGGGAGAAAATATGGATCCAATCAGCTTTTCCTTTTTATAAATTGGGAATAACTGTGATTAGTCCATAGCTAAGGGGCAGACAGCCATTTTCAAAGCCAGTTTCAAGGCACCTCAAGGCATTTCAGTCCTGAAAAAAGTGTACTTTGTTCTTAGAAGCTCAATCCCATGGGTTGGCCAGCCCATCTCTTTACAGTGGCCCTTAATTAGGAGGAAGAGACAGACAGGGAGCTCCAAGACAACAGGAGAGGCAGGGGCGGTTGAGGAAACCAGCAGACTGGACCCAGCAGAGCGCAGTGATGGGAACATGCAGCCAGAAGTGGGGCTGGACCCCACAGCGCAGGGAGAGAAGCAGCTTGCTGGTATAAACTAGAAAGCAGGGTAGAGAAATGGCTGCTATGGAAACATGTCACTGGTTCCCCACCTCTACTCACCGAAGCCCCATCTTGTTCCCAACCTCACGGCCCTGGGGGAGGTGGCCCTAGGAGAGCTCTGGAACAGATTCTAAGAGGCTGCAGGAGAAAGGGCCCATGAGGGTGGGCAGCTGGGGGTGGGGGGGGCCCACTGGGTCAGGGCATTGAAAGGAAGGAACCCAGAAGTCTGGGGCTTCTTGATGCAGATTTGGGACTTCTTAGAATAAACGTAGGGAATCGCGCAAAAATTTCCCCTAAATGTTAGGCATCCTGGAAAAAGAAAAGTGCCCTGCATCAGCACAGGCACAGCTCGTCCTGAAAGAGGAGAGCACTTGAGAGGTTGCCGAAAAGGGAAATCTGCAGGCTGCAGAAGTGTATCACAACGGCCCTTGGTCTCAGCCGGTATGAGATGCCCACCACCCATCACTCCCCTCTTAGCTGGTTGGCTCCAAGGTTGGGCTGTGTCCGCCTGCCCCAGGCATCCTGGTGGCTTAGCCCACCCCCATTGGCAGTGTGTTGATTGGCAGTTAGGTACTGAGCTGGACTCACCCCACCCAGGAGCTGTCACCCAGGCTGTCCGTCCCCCACTCTGCCTGGCCTGTCGCCTTGTTCCCTGTTGGACCTCCCCCCACCCCTTCCTTCCTTTCTTCCTTTCCCAGGGCCCAGATTCGGGACTCTCTTCCTTCTCTCCAACTCCAGCCCTGGAAGCAGTGGTTACAGAGGTGGAATTAGATGCACCAAAAAAAAAAAAAAAAAAGAATCTTGGTCCCCACAGTGCTGACCTGACAGTTCCCAACTCTTGTTATGGCTTTGTGTGCATCCCCGGCAGTTGGCACACAGGAGATGCTCAATAAATGGATGTTGAATTGAAGTGAATTAAACTGAACCTCCTGTATGCTCTTGTTCTCTCCCCAAATTGGCCATCTGATGGGCAGAGGCAGAGAATGGTCCCTGAGACTGTCACAGTCCTGTCTCCACCCCCTTTCCTCAGACCAGTTCCTGCCCCGGGCACTGACTCCTAGAGCCTGGGCAGGGTCTGAGCCCCTTGAAAGGCCGGGAAATGCTAAAGAAGGTCAGTCTGGGGGCAGGAGTGGCGCCTCACCAGCAGTTCTGCCCTCCCACTCCATCCCTCCATCCCCAGCGCCCTGGGAGAGGAAGCAGGCCTGGACAGCCCAGCTCCCTCACCTCACCTCCCTGTCTACCAGCCCGCAGAGGCCCTTCCCACAGGGAAAACTATGGCTCTGTTGATCCAAACTGGAGACTGAGGAGCCAGAGGAGGGGAGGGTGGGACCCTCAGTCTGTCAATTTGAACCTGGTTCCCCATCTCTAGTGAGTGACTTGCCTCCTTGATCTCTGAGGGTCTTCCAAGGTAGAGTTCACGTCAGCAGTTTCTGTCTCTCTCCCTCTCTTGAGGCTTAAATACTTCCCTCTTAACGTGAGTAAAATGGCAGTGAAAGTTGGCTCTCCAGAAATGCTATTTCCTCCCCACAGAGGGAGTCCCTGGGGCAGGGAGGGTGTGACATGGCTACAGGATCTCACAGGCTCCGAGGGCCCCTTCACGCTTCCCTCAGGGCATTTCCTTCCCTGATCTCTACCCAAAAGCCAGCTAAAAACCCTGCTGAGGGTCACTGGGAAAGTTTGAAGAGAAGGCCCGGTTAAAGCCCCCAGCCTGCACATCAACTCCTCCGCCATGGTTTTCCACCCTCCCCAGCCCCACACCTGGGTTGAGGGCGGTCACCCTGTTGGAGAAGGCAGTCTGTAACTAACTCCATTTTACAATGCAGCCTCCACCCCTTCAGACCTCAGCTGACTTGGAAATTTGTCTCCTGTTAGTGGTTAACTATGGTGAAAAATGACCACTACCTAGAACGATACAACCTACCCATGGCCCAGCTCAGTGAGTCTTCATGCAATGTTCCCCCCCCAAATCCCAAGAGATTCGCAGCTGACAGAAAACGCCCCCACGAGGCTCCTGTGGTAGCAACTATCAGTGGAGGTCCCTGGGCCAAGGCTTCCCCTCAATGCCCAGGAAATGCGTGCCCCCCCCCAAGTGATAGGAACCCATCAGCAGCCCCCAGCCTGACAGGGCTGCCTGGCCTGGAGCAGCTCGGGGAGCAGAGCCACACTACAGCCGGGGCTTTCTTGAGGCAGGCAGCGCAGCAAAACCCCTCAGCCACCCGCAGATCCTCCCTGAGGCCCACCGGACCAGTCCACAAACAGGGCAGTCTGGACAGCCGAACTCCCCCTCACGCCCTCTCTTTCTGGGACCCTCACACAGGCCTCCTGCCTCCTCTCAGGGACTGGCAGTTTTGAGCCCACTTCTTCCCCCCCCCCCACCCCACCCCCCCGGGGCCCACACGTCCCACGCGCCATGGCAGGTTTCCCAAATGAAAGAGAGGTGGGTCACTCTTGGTGCAGGGTGGGGGGTACGAAGGGAGGGTTTCGGGAGGCCCCAGGTGGGCCCTGGGACCCTGGTTCAAGAGAAGCACACCAAGAGAGGGCAGGCAGGGGCACAGTGTGCAGGGCGGAGGGTGGGAGGAAGACAGGACGCGAGGGAGGGGCTGCGGGGCCGCGTTACTTGGGGCCATCGTCCGCGTTGCCCTCTCCATCTGTCTTGCCCTCCTCCTCCGTCTTCAGGTCATCCGTGCTCAGTTTCTGCTCTTTTTTCCTCCTCACGCACTTTACTACCATCAGCACCAAGATGACCACCGCCAGGAAGCCACCCACAGAGGCGCCCACGATCACGGCCACCGTGGAGTCCCGCTCAGGGGGCTCTGGAGAAGGAAAAGAAACAGACCCACTGAGCACCAGGGCAGGGAAAGGGAGCCTCATCCACTGCCCCCTGCTCCCCGCAGTATGCGCGGGGTGGTCCTCACTGGACGCTCTGCGTGGAAAGGACTGTAGTCAAAGCCAAAATCAACCCAGGCCCCTGAGCTCTCCGCGCCCCACCCCAAAATCCCAGGGCACCTCAAAGCCCCAGGGGAAGACAGTAAAATGCAGAATTTTAAGAGCACGGACTTTGAGATGGAATAGACCCAAATTTGAGTCCTAATTGTACTATTACTCATTGCGTGACCTTAGGTGGCTGACTTCTCCTCTTGATAGCAAGTGCCCAACCAATGAACGCTGCTATTATGATTCTTGGCATCATGATGATGACCGAGGTCCCAGTCCTCAGAGACCTGAGGAAGTAACAGGGGTGCCTTCCCCCCAACACAAGCCAGAGCTCCCACCCTCAGGAGGGCACAGCCCCTCCCAAGGAACAGGGTGATCCTCCTGCTGGAGGGTGGGGGGGGACAAGCAGGGGCCCCAGGCAGCAGGCTCCCCACTCTGCAAGCCCCGTCCCTCACCTTCCATGAGGACCTGCAGGTAGATCTTGCCGTGGCCACGGTGGCGGTCGGGCGGGTTCATGATATAGCAGTTGTAGGTGCCCACATCCTCGAGCTGCACGTTTCTCAGCGTCACCGACACGTCATACTTGCTGGGGTTCCCTGAGAACTCCACACGGTCTCGGAACCGTTCCAGCTTCAGGTTGATGATCTTCATGCGGAACTGGAGGAACTGGGGAGGGGGGCTGCATGAGCAAGAGGCTGCAAGGAGTTCCCCTCCCCGCCATGCACCTGGTCCCCTGGAAGAGAGGCGGTTACCTCCAGGTCTCTGCCACCCTCCCAGGGCCACCCAGGCGTGACCACACACCTACTGCCGCAGCCCTCTGGAGGAGACAGCCCACCGGGATCCCCAGGGTCCTGGTCCAGGGCAGGGGCAGGTGGTGGGAAATGTGGGCTTCGTGCCCAGGGGCTCCTGCCCCCTCCCTCACCCCGCCCCCGACCCGGGACTCACCATCTCCTCAGAGCAGTTACTACACTCCTGGTAGGTCCAGTTCAGGGAGAACTGTTTGTGGTTCACTGTGTAGCAGGAGTTGAACGTACAGGGCAGACGGGCATCAGAGCCGTTGAGGACGTTGAGGGTGGTAGGTACTGTGACCTCCATGCTCTGCCCTGGTGGCACTGTGGATAAAGCCACAAGCTGGTGAGGATTCTGGCTCACAGGGTCAGGGAGGGGGCAAGCCTTCTGCACCTGCTGGGGAGTGGAGCAGAACCATGGCCGTGGGCTGCGTCCCTTAGGTCTGAAATTAGTCAGGGAGTGGTATGGGCGGGCAAAGCTCCAGGGGGGTACCCGACATGGCCCTTGGGGTAAAAGCAAGGCTGGGGTGGAGAGAAACCACATTGCCTGTCAAGTCAGGGGCAGACAAATGGCCCCAAGTCTTTCCCAGGACCATCGTTGTCTACAAGGGCAGGAGCCCCTTCTGGAGATGTCAGGTCCGGAAACTTCTCAGCAAGGAGCTGACACAGGCTGAAGGGGTGACAGGGTGGGGACAGCAGGTTTCTGTCAAATCCGGTAAGGAGCACCGGGCCTGGTCCAGAAGAGCTGGGTGCTGGGGCTGCCCGGCCCATTCTGACACCCTAAGCAGAGCAGAGTCTAGGGTGGGTGAGGGAGCCCAAGCCCTTCCAGTTGAAGTGGCAGTGATCTCCATGGGGCAGAAAGCCTTGGACACAAAATTTAAGGGGGCACCAACCCTCAGGATCAGGCAAACACCTCCTTAAACTGCACACCGTGGGCACCTCACTGGCCTCACCCTGACCTTAACGCTAAGATTTTCTGCCAATATTGTCAAAGCCTCATCCCAAAAGATGCATTTTCTTTAGAAGGGATAAGCAGTAACACTCAGTATCAGCCATGCATTCACTCGTTTACCCAATATTTATAAGCCATCCCCTACGCCCCCACGCACTTAGTCTAGGCTGGGGGGGACGGGTTATTTCTGTGAACGATGGTGGCAGAGTCCCCGTCACACGAAGCTTGTGTTTTAGGGAAGGGAACACGCACTAACGAGGAAAAAAATTACAATGTAACTTTACATAGTGATACCTGGCAGCCACTGTAAGAACTAAAGCAAAGAGAAGGGGTTTGTTGTTTCCTAACGGTAGTCAGGGAGGACTGCTCGGAGGCGCTGACGTGTAGGTAGCCCCTGACAAAGTGAGGGAGTGAGCCATCTCAAATCCTGAAGGAATCAAGTGCCAAGCAGCGGAACATCAAGAGCAAAGTCCCAGTGGCTGGAATGAGTTTCGTGTGTCTTAAGCACAAGGAGCAGGGACCAAGGAGCAAATGGTAAGACCCGAGGTCCCAGAGTTAGGCAGGGGCGAGGCACCAGGGGCTTTGGGGGCCAGAACTCGGGAATCAGGATTTTCTTCTCTGCGTGTGATAGGAAGCCGGCAGCGCCTGGGGGTGGAGAGGGGGGAGGGGGCAGACGGGGGAGGGGCAGAGGGCGTGGCTAGCAACCTACGGCTGCAGGAAAAGCCTAGACAAGGAGATCCCGTGCGACACGGGGTCCCTTCCAGCTCTGCCTTCCATCGGCTGGGAGGATGTGGGCAAGCTCCTTCACCTTCCAAGCCCCAGTCCCCTGCTCTGTAAAACACAGCTGATGACACCCACCTCCTGGGGCTGCCATGATCATTTTAAAGAGAGAAAATACGCAAAGCGTGATGCGCAGGCTGGCAGCTCCAGTTCCCTCCATTCTCAAGTTCTGCCCCCTAAACAGGAAGGCCTTCTGGGACACTGTCCTCCTGGCAGGGGGCAGCCCCTTGGAATTCCCCCCGCTCTGGCGGCCGGCGCGGGCCCCGCAGCCGCGGGTCGGAAGCATCCCCTGCAGGGCTGCGCGCCGCTCGGCTGCGGGGCCCGCCCCGGAAGCCGCCGCACTGCAGCCGCGAGCCGGGCTGTCCGTCTGCTCGGCTCCCCCCTCAGGATGCGTGGCCGGGGCTTGGGGCACGGGACTGAAAGGACAGGCGAGGCTCTGAAGGGCTGGCCCCAGAGGTCACAGCGGAGCCTCCGGTGGCGGGATTGGGCGTGCCACCCTCCTGCAGGCCGGACGCTCGCGAGGGGAGCGTGAACTGGGGAGGCTGAGGGGGCTGCCAAGAAGAGCAAAGCCCAGTTCCCGGATCCCCACTCTCATCAGCATTATGAAAGCACCTAGCAGAGCGCCAGGCAAGGAGGAGGTGCGCAGAAAATACCACTGCCGCCCGCGCCCTGCAGAGGCAGAGAAATCTGCAGGGAAGGAAGCAGGCAAGGCCTTGTCCTGAGCTTACCTCTTACCCGAGGAAGGCTCCGCTTCTCTAACCCCCTCCAAGGGCCGCTACCTTCCCAGGGCCGCCTCCCAAAAGGGGTCCCTCCACGTGACCGCAGAGAGCAGGTGCTGTGAATCGGGCTGACCTATCCCTGGCCTCTTTCCCCGCCCAGCCCACATCCTTCAGATGAGCACTTGAACCCCACAGGGCAGCGCCCTCCACTGTGAAGGAGCCAGCACCCTGCCGCGTGGAAGGGCAGAGCTGTGGGGAGGTCCTATCTGGCTGGCGGGAGGGAGCCGAGGTGCAATGCAGGGTCCCTTCCCCCCAACCCCCGCCCCCGCCGCAACCCGGCCGCCTGGCCCCCGCTGGAGTCACCGGGAGGAACGCGAGCGCCCTCTAGTGGTCGAGGCGTTCAGCGAGTCCCAACTGCAGAGAGAGGCTGGGATCACCAAATCAGAGGAAGCCGGACAGGGGCACCTCCAGAATTGTGAACCTAGACCCACCGCCTCACCAGTGAGGCAGATGAGGCCCTGAGGGAGACACACAGAGGACAGGGACAAGCCGGGGCCAGACCGTGGTTCCTGACTCCTACTCCAAGGCACCCACGTCAGCCCAAGTCCCCACCAGGGTTTTAGGCCTCTCACCAATCCAGGCCCCCATTAAAGACTAAGAAACCACCATGCAACAAGGCCAGAGGTGTAAGCAAAATCCTGATAAACTCTGCGGCTTCTGGAAAGTAGCCAAGTCTGCAGCTAGGGCCATAGAAAGGACTTCGCAATAACAAGAAAGTGATTACTGCAGGCCAGATGCTTTCTTACCACAGATATGACATCATTTGATACTTACAACAGCCCTATTACCACCCCACTTTCCAGACGGTGCAATTGAGCACAAAGAAGTTACATGACTAGCCCAAGTTCACAGCTAGTAAATGACAAAGCTCGATTTGAGCCCAGGCTGCCAGGCTCCAGACAGGGGTGAGGGGTTGAGGCCTAGTGACATTCCAAGGCATGCCAGGGACCAGGCCTCCAGCTGTCTACATGGCAGATCCAGCTCCAACTGTCAGCCCCTAGCTCCGAGCAGGCTGGCCAGAGGGGAATGGTCCTGTTTAAAGGGACCTCCATACAAGGAAGCCCAGTCCTCCTGGTTGACCCATTTGGGACCAGGTCTGGGTTTCTCATAGAAAGGAAATGGGGATCAGCAGGGGCACTGAAAGGATGTGGCTTCTGGTTTTAGTTCCAAAGCATCCCTGGCACCCAGACCTCCCCCCTTTCTCTGGGGCCACATCTGGGCAGCCCAGGCCCCATGTTACCCACTGTTCTAACTAGCCCATCTTTCAGAGATCACACAGATTTGCTCACCTCCTGCCAAGCTCTATCTCCTGCAAAGACAGAAGTGAATTATCTTCACTCCTCTTCCCAACCCTACAGCAACCAATGAGGTAGGTTTATGTTCTTCATGTTTAAAAGAGAGAGTGTCCAAGCAGAGAAATGGTCCCCACAACCTTCTGGGGCAGCCCCCTGCATCCCGGGGGAGTGTGACACCCAGACCCTGCCTCCTGCTTTCAGACCCTCCCCCACACCAGGATCTCTGCCTCCTAGCCCAGTCTACCTCCAGGCAGCATGTCCTCACCACCCCTCCTCTGGCTCCCTGTTGTTTTCAGGATCAAGTCCAGGTTCCTGGGCACGGCTTCCAACCCTTTGCCATCTGGGACCAACCTAGGTCTTGGCCTCCTCTCCTGCCAGCTCCTAAGCCTCCATTCTTCTTCCACTCGGCAATCCCCGACTCCTTACTTGTCCTGACAACCCCACCTTCTCTCACCCCTCCATGCCTCTGCACTTATGCTTCAGGTCCGGAAGCTCGTTCACCCTTCTCGACCTGGGGCCCTCTTACCTATGCTGCAGTTCCCAGCTAATGAGGCATGCCTCAATAACAGCATCCCCAGCACCTAGGCCCTCTACCCAGCCCAGTTCCTATCGCTTCCAAGTGACCTGAAGGCAGAACGGCATTGTGGCCAAGCGGTCAGATCTTAGGCAAGAGAGTTAACCTTCCAGACCTCAGTTTCCTCATCTGTAAAATGGGAGACAATCATAGACCCCCCCCCCCAACTCCTAGGGCAGTTGTGAGGGTCACATGACTTGTTAACATAGGAAGCTCCCAGCAATGCCTGGTACATAGTCAGCCCTTGACGAAGGTCTATCATTCTCAGCATCATTAGGATTGTTATTGTGACAGCCCTTGTGATTTTGTGCTGTCATTATCTGTTTGTGTGCCCGTGTCCCTTGAGAGGCTCTGGGGAACTGATTTCTGCTCATCTTGGTATCCCTAGCCCCAGAACAGTATGTGACCACAGATGGGCCCTCCATAAATGTCTGTGGAAGGAAAGAAAGGCATTTTCCCCTCCATGCCTGGATCCCTGCCCCCAGCAGAAGACACGTGCAGTGGGCTTGAGTGAGGACCTCACCTCACTTAACCCAGACTTGGGTAACAAGGCTGGTGACTGCAGAGCCCACGGTCTTAAGAAAAACTCTGGGAAGTCCAGTCATTTGGATTGTTTCTAGCTAAACACTAGCCTCACATGCTTCTGCTGTGTGTACGGCAGATTGCCCCGCTGGTTATCCTCTATGATTTACCCGCTCTTTGGTTATCCTCACAAATCCTGCCCCTGATGTGGTCCCTCCCTCGTCATTGGTCCCTCCATCTTGGAGGCTGATGCCATTACGACCACCAAAGTTCCTTTGTCCACCTGAGCCCTTAGCCTTGGTGTGCCAGGGCATACCTCATCATATCATCAGTCAAGTTCAAGTTCAAGATCTACTACCCAGATTTGCAGAGGCTCTAGCTTCCTCCCACCACCATCTCACATCCCCCACTCCCTGACCTCTTCACTCCAGGCCCCATCATCCCCTGAGACACATCCTGGTCATGGTCATGGAGCCCCCTTCCTTTCTTCGCTTAGATCAGGCTCTCACAAGACTGTCCCCCTCCCCCAAGAAGCTCTCTCTAACTCCCAAGGGAGTCACGTGTCCTCCATCCCTGGTTCCTTACACCCAGGTCATCCACCCAACTCCCCATCTTTTTGCCTGCACTTGAGATTCTTTGATTATTGTTAATATAGCAGTACCATTTCTTGAACATTGGGGGCAGTAGAGTTCAACAGCTAAGTACTAGAAGTCTGACAAACCGGTTCAAATCTCAGCTCACCTTGAACTAGTCGTGTGACTTTAAGTTGCTTAATTTAAGTAACTTAGTTACTTCATTTCGCTGTGCCTGTTTCCTCATCCATAACAGAAGGATCATAACAGCATCTACCTCATTCAATTACTGATTATCTTGAGGACTAAATAAGCTATACAGCCCCTGGGCACGTGAAAAGCGTTAGCAAAGTTCAGCTATTATTGAGCACCTGCTGTGTGCCCACCTCACAGAAAAACCCAGGCATTCTCCAGTTTACCCACGAAAGAACCGAAGCTCAGAAGGGTCAAGTAACTTGCCTACGGTCATGAAGTAAATGACAAAGGTGGCTTTAAACCCAGAGCTGATTCCAAGGCTCCTCCTCTTTGTACGGCCCACGCTTCCGTAACATTCCTGCTCTGTTGTTAATACTGTCCAGGAACTCAGCAAAGCTAATAGGCCTTATGACGCAAGCTGACAGGGGCTCTGTGTTGTCTCTGTCTAGCACTCCTGCCCAACATCCAACACAGCACACCAGAGAAGGACAAGGAGAGGGAGGGAGGGAGAGGGATTCTGTGATGCGGAATATCCCCACTGACAATCCCGGGGCTTGACCAACTACTACACCAGCAATGAGTAAGTTTAGGAGCAAGGATGAAACTACCCATAAAGCAGGCTTGCAAAGAACTCTCTAGCCCACCTACTCACCAGGAAGTCCTGAGTGGTCAAATAGGAAATTAACATTCGGATCACTTGACAAGGCAGTCTGCAAGGCTGGGCTGGTCTTAAAGGGCCACAGCCACACTCAGCCTGTGAGTTCCTTTTTTTTTTTCTTTTTTTCCTGATCCCTTCACCTGACCCCCTCCTCCACTCCATCTGGCCCACGCCAGAGGCCTCCATCAGCGCTTGCTTCAGCAAGTCTCTTCCCAATGCAGAGATCATACTTCAAGCCTGCTTCCCACCTGCCCCCCCCCACCACATTTCAACAAACCAGTGGTACAGATTTCCAGGAAACAAGACCCAGACTCAACTTTCTACCTCCCATTCCCCCAAACATTCTTTCCTAATATCCTAAATCCACCAGATTCCAAAGATCACGGTCCACAAGAGAAGCCCCTTAAGGGAGCATGAAGACCCAGGACCCCATATTTGCTGCAGCTTAAAAAAAATCCACGAAGAGACTTTGCAGATCAACCTATCCTCTGCCCCCACCCCCACATAAGTCTGTTTCAGGGAAACCCAAAGAAAAATCACCTCCCGTGATAACTGTCACCCCTGAGGAACACTCAGATCCCCCGACCCAACATTTCTGTGACCAAGTAGTCCCAGCGTTATGCAGTCCCCAACAATGTCTTCCCCCAGTCCTCGGTACCTCCCTTCCCAAGGACATGAAGGGAAGCTCAAGCAATCAATGTCTTCTTCCCTGCCCCCGGCCCCCATCCTCTTCCAGCTTTGGCTACACTTCTGGACCCTCAGGAGCATGCAGATGTGCAGTCTAACTTACCCAAAGAGAAAAAGAGACTGAGCCCCGCGAGACTGAAGGCAGGGCGAGGTAGCCAGGCATCTCTGTGCATTTTCAGAGACTGAGATGTTAGTCGGGTGGGATATGGGAGAGGGTGATTTGAGGGGCCGAGGGCTACAAGGGATGAATGGTTAGATGCTAAAAAAAAATGCACAGATGTACTTCAAAGACACATACAACATTAAGGAAGCTTTATTTCCATCTCTCTAATATGGCCGGCTTGTATGTTGCTGCTAAAAAGAGAGAGGGAGTGTGTAAGGGAGAGAGAAAAAGGGGGATGGAGTAAATTCTGTGGTTGGTGGATTCTGAAAAGCAGGTGGGAGGGCATAAAAAAAATCTTTCTGAAAAGAACAAAGTTCCCCAGGATTTTTTCCCCTCTAAAACAAGAACTAAAGCAAATCCTGCTTTTCTTCTTTTCTTCTTCTTCTTCTTCTCCTTCTTCTTCTTCTTCTTCTTCTTCTTCTCTTGGATGATAGTTGGGATTTGAAAGTTGTTAGAGGAGCTCATTCATTTCAAAACTGCTGTAAAGGGGGGAACTCTTTTTGTCATTTAGAAACACCCCAAAAAGGAGATGTTTGTTTTGTGTTATTTGGAAGGGGT